ACACTGTTTTCTGTAGTCAACAAAACGCTCGATGAACTCGAAAGGGAAAGTTACAGTCTGGTTTTGTCACGATGCACGTAATTCACATCGCTAAATAGCTGCACACTGCTGGTGTGATTATATCGATTGTTTTACTGACAACTAATGAAATCGCTTTGGTTTCATCATTGGTCTATTTTTGCCCGCAGCGAATTAAGACTAGAATGTGCCCTTACCCGTTCATCTCAGTTCATTATTCTTCAAAGTTAGTTCGCTCTACAAACGTCGGTAAAAAGATCCTCGCCTTATAAGCAATTTCGCATTTTCCACATAAATGGAACGTAGATAATAGAACAGCATTAGGGAAATAATATATACACCATTCTAACATCCCTGCAGATTAAAGAAAAAACGGATGAAGAGGCAACTTCAGGCATGCGTAGCTAGCGTAAATATAACAACAATCGTTCTTAAATTATGTTCAAGAACGTTTTCATCAAAGTCCTTTTCAGAGCAGCAGCAAAGATAAATTATTAGAACTTAAAAAGCCTTTTTAAGAGACTGTAAAAATCTTCTTAAAAGAATCTACGCATTAAGTATAACAGTTGGTTTTGATTTCCATGTTAGCGTCAAAACTTTAACCAGACAAGACAAGAAACAAAAATTGCTCATGCGCAGTTATCTAGTGTGACCTTAACAAATCCAGTGACATTGCCTCTTTTTTAATTGGCTTCGATAACTGCAAACCTCACATTTGTTGGAGCAAACAAGGAAAAATTTCTCTTTCACCGGTCTTTCACCGGAGGAAAAACTTTCGAACGAACAATTCAGTATAAACTTCACAATCTTCAGCAATAACACAACTTAAACTTTCTTCAAAAAATATAATAAATAATATAAAATACATCGCCAGCTAGGAGATTCTTAGGGTACAAAATTAAGGGAAAATGTTAACGGTAATTTCGGAAAGATCTTTGATCGACTGCGGAGTTGTTTTTGTCAGTTTGTTTCACGGTGTTCTCTTTGACAACATACATTCGCAAAACGTAATACGTTGAAAGGAAATATTTAAATAGCTCAAGAAAGAAAAATCCGCTGCTCTTGCACCTCGCAGGAATGGAGATACAGAATATATTTGAAGACATAGTCGACCCAGAACTAGAAAGATGTCAAGACCCGTACGCTGTGTGTATTCAGTAGCTTGATTATCATTTCCGTTGTGAAGAAAATATTCTGTTTGAGCGCCTCGCGTTTCGACAATTAGCGCCGATTGATGGTGAACCAGTTGACAAGTTTGTCGTCCATCTTCGTCAACAGGCAAGGCATTGTAATTTTGGCGATTCTCTCGACGACAATTTACGTGATCAGTTGATCCTCATCTTAGAAAATGCACAGCTCGAGTTACCTCTTTTCCAGTATTGTAAGAGTTTCATTCTTGAGTTTTATATTTTTTTCTTTCCTGAGTTTGATTTATACTTTGTTTGTTTTTGCGCGACAGAGCGACGCAGATTGCAGAAATTACTTCTTGACTATAAATAGTTTCGACACTTTAAATAACAATAATAATAATAAATAACAAACAAACAAAGTTATGATCCCAAAACGGTTTCTGAAATCATTCTGTAAGTTTTTCTTCCATCTTCTTCTAATGATGAGGTTAGCATACTGTCAAATATTGAAGGGAAAAACACCTCAAGAGCTTTCAGACATTAGTCAAAACAACCCCAGAGGGCATCTCTGATTAAGAAAAGGGAAAGCCCCTTGACAAGTGGCTCGTACAAGTAAGTAAGTTCTGAGATGCAACCTAAGCACTGCAGATGCCTTCAGCCTTTATGCCGACTTTTTCCGGTTTATGATTGGATAAGTGTTTGCGTTCACCCTTTCAAAATCACCCATGCAAACTAACAATGGAATTATATGTTTCTTGACAAGCATTTTGAAAACGAAAGTAAATAAGTGTGTTGCCCGGGCATATCTTTTTCTCATCTTAGAATGCAAAGCTCGAGTTACTTCTTTCCCAGTGCTCTAAGAGTTTCATTCAGGATACCGGAATTTGCGGAGACCTACAGGTTATCTACGACGAGTTACGATATCCTGTTACAAGATTTGGTAAGTAAATTTATCGCAGATTACCTTATTAGCGCTGACGGCCATGTCGTAGCCATTTTATGGCGAACGGTAACTTCTTTCTGTTAAATCTGAAGAAAAATCTCTAAGGTTAACTTTTTTTGTGACAAACAAACTTGTTCATATTTTTGGTATTGACTACAATTTGAATTTACTTTCCTTTAACACGAAAGAGGGGAGCCGATTTACGAGAAAGGTTTTTCTTGACTGTAAATAGTTTGAATGCAAATTACGCTGACGAGAAGATCCCTCCATGAATGTTTTCATATTTCTTATAATAATAATACTAAAATTTTTTATTACTTCGCCTATGTAGTCTGATTTGCAATACTTCTACTTCTTTTCCAGTATTGCAAGATTTTTATTCTTCAATTTTATATTTTTTTCTTTCCTGAGTTTGATTTATACTTTGTTTGCTTTTGCGCGACAGAGCGACGCAGATTGTAGAAAATATAATTACTTCTTGACTATAACTAGTTTCGACACTTTAAAAAGTAATAATAGTAATAGTAATGATATTAACAAACAAACAAAGTTATGATCCAAAAACTGTTTCTGAACGTTTTTCCTCCATCTCCTACAAACGATGAGGTTAGCATACTGTCGAGTATGCAAGGGAAAAACACCTCAAGAGTTTTCAGACATTAGTCAAAACAACCCCAGAGGGCATCTCTAATTAAGTAATTGACAAGTGCGTAACGTGCAATTTAAAAAAGAAAAAAAGTTAATGTGTTGCCTGAGCATATCTTTTGCTCATCATAGAAACCGCACTGTTCGACTTACTTCTTTTCCAGTATTATGAGAATTTTATTTTGAGTTTTATTTTTTTTTTCATTCCTGCATGTTTTGTTTGCTTTTACGCAACAATGCGACACAGATTGCAGAAAAATTACTTCTTGACTATAAATAGTTTGGACACTTTAAATAATAATAATAATAATAGTATTAATAATAGTAATAATTATAATGATGATAAGTTAAGTTGAGTTATTTTGCACTCGTCACTTTTAAGCATTGCAGATGCATTCAGCCTCTGATTTTTTCCGCTTTATGACCGGATTTGTGTTTGCGTTCACCCTTTTCCCAATATTTTAAATAATTCATAGGATACAGGGTAACTGGTATACTCTGTTGTTACCGTGCAAGGACACCGGAATTTGCGGACACCTACAAGTTATCTGCAGCGAGTAACGATTTCCTGTTGTTAGTTTTGCTATGCAAATTTAATTTGTCTCAGATAATTAGCGCCGATCGGCCATATAACGTTGGGTCACTAAACTAAACTAATAAAGGTCACTTTTTTCAACAGGTTTTGATCTCCAAGCGGTTATAACATAGGAAAATCAATGTGGATTTGGCCGTTTTTCATCTTATTGATTCACCAGAGGGCAGACGTATGCAGAGGTATTTAGACTCTTAAGTGAATATCTGACCAACAAATAAAGCCATCGAATTTCAATTGGATAAATGGGGTAGACCTCTTAAGAAACTGTCGTACTGCGTCGGTGAGAGAGTATAACTAGGTAATTTGGTATTATCGACTAAGTTGATTACGTAAATTGGCCACCGTAAATAGTTTGAAAGCTGTCGTTTTGAGCGTTAGCCCTTCGCCACTCGCACTGACGAAGGGCTAACGTTGGAAGCGTTGATAAATAGAGAATAATACATGGGCGCGCGTAGATATGGAATTTCTCTTCCAGTGTTCAACCCGATAGCTCACGTGTGAGCGCAGGACTTTGAAGGAAGGACTTTGCTTGTGTCACGATGATATTTACCTTATTATTTCCCGTAGGGTTCTGTAATATTGTTTAAAAAATCTTCTGCTTACAGTTTTTACCCAGCAGCGTTGCATTAACTTCAGAGTTCAGAAACAATTTCTGTGGGAACCAAGCAAAAAAATGAAACAGGCAAATTGCTATTTTTGTAAGCGTGAGTGAGATGCTTTCTTTTGAGAAATTATCCTAATGCTAAGTTATACTATTCAAGTGTCAACACTCTACGAAACGGGGTGTGTCTTCATAACATTCTTTGCTAGTTGCAAATAGGTAGCAGAGTCCACAGCTTTATCGGTTATATCATTCATTTTACCCTATTGCCCAATTCTCCTGAGGCTTTAGTTATAAACGTAGTTTCAGATTTTTTGTTTAAGTTGCACCTGTATATATATCCGAAAAATTCAGGGCAGCTATCATAAATTGAACTCACCCAGTAAAGGGCCCAGTTCCTGTTACAATTGAATTAGAATCTAAAACATTTGCCTACTGATATCGGCAAATAATTTGCTAACACATCACCTATATTTTTCCTAATCAGCTTCCGCCGTTTCGCCTGGAAGGAATCACTCTAGTGAGTGCAAATTGTTCAAATGTAACTAGCTGAAAGAATTCTAAAATATACCAATCATTCTGTAAATGAAATCTTCTCAGGCTGAACTAGCCACTAGGGCCTCTGCTGGCGAGAAAATTAAAGTAGAATGAAATATATAACTATTTCCTACATTTTTTAAATTTCTGGACACCTTTATTGTTGTACGTGTCAATTATTCAGACGTGTCTCAAAGAAAAATAACAAACCAAAAAAACTCAGTTTTATTTCTTATTTTTTGCCACAAGAACTTTGGCTAGAATTTTCTTTGGGATAAATAATCTATATGATGTCTAATATCTGATGGCAGTTCTTGCCGAGAAATAAATTAGACGGCTCTGATGAGCTTAACACAAACTTCCTACAACCTCCTTAGGATCTATAAGGTTACCTTTGAAAAAATAAACCGGTCTTACTGGATGATGGTGACAGCAACATTTGACTTGCTCGCATCAAACTGGGAGGGCACTGTTCTCTTCGTAACTCATTTTTAATTTTTTACTTTTCCTCTTTTTGAAGCTTCAATTTGCAGTTCGCCATGTTTGCTGGTTTTAAACTCATCAGACGTTATCGCTTTTGACCTTGAAACTTCGGAAATTATTTCCGTTAAATCGGGTCTGTCAAGGGCACTGACGTTGGATTATCATTTCAGCTTGGGCTACATATTCTGGAGTGATTTGATTGAACAAAGTATTAAACGTTTCAGCATCTATAATGAGAATATGACAACGGTTATTGTAAATACTGGCGTTTGTGCTGGCCTGGCGGTAGAGTGGAGGACATCTCGATTGTACTGGACAGACAGTACATTTAAAAAAATATCCGTATCAGACGTTCATGGCTTAAACCAACACAGCCTCATTACGGAACTGGAAGAGCCCAGGGATATAGCTCTAGATCCTGATAGTGGGTATGTTTTGACTTATGAAAGTTAGAGAAAAAGTTTTTTTTTTGTTGCTATTATTAATATTTCTTATCTTGCAATGTGACAGCTTGATGTTTTGGACTGACTGGGGCCACGGAGTTGATCCCAAGATTATGAGAGCTTCATTGAATGGAAGTCAAATACTTTCTGTTGTTATGGTAAACCTTCAAGAACCTACCGGCATTAATCTCGATTTTGGAAATAGACGGATTTTCTGGGTAAACTCAAGAACTGGCATAGTGGAATCTGTCAACTACGATGGTGGTAACAGGAACGTCCTTTCCCAACAGAGTGGTCTACAACCGTCAGGATTAGCGCTCTTCCCCTCATTTCTTTTCTTGACCGTCTGGAAAGCTATGAAACAACTAGATGCCATCACTGGAAAAATGCTCCACAGCTACAGCATCAGCGATGAGAAGCCTATCGATATTGTGCCATACGATGCCTCCAGGCAGGCTCCAGGTAGTAAATACAATTGAGGTTCTTTACATAGACTTCAAACATATCCTAAGTCTTTAAAACATATCATTGAAGTCAACAAAATTAAGGATAGCAACAGAAGAAGTGCTTCCAGCCACCCCACCTCCCCAACCCCCTTTGCACCAGGTTATGAGAATTAACAGGTCCCTTATACAATACAAACTTTATTGACACTCCCTAAGAGGGCTTTTCAGTGACAATTAATAATTACAATAATAAAAATGTTTAATCTATAAAGCTAAAAATAATTACGAAAATTACAACTAAGAAACTTTAAGAAGGTACGATAAAATGGGTAAGATAATATAGTATTATATAGTATATAATATATATAGTATTGAGCATATTGCCTGGTTGACTTTCATCGAGCAGTCAAGTTCCTCTCAAATATTTTTGTCTGTTAGAAATGTTTGCATTACTTTTGGGGCTGAGCTATGGATTTTTCAATTATTTTTCTCTGAACTTGTCCTCTACTTTCCGCTTTTTCTCTTTAATGTCTTACTTTTAGAGACATTTTTCAATTCTCCCAACGATCGTATTTTTCTTTTTTGTTTTGTTTGTTGTTTGGTTTTTGTAAGCTTTTAATCCTTGTTCTGTGAACAATGGAGGATGTAGCCACTTTTGTGTCCCCAAAACATCTGGTTACGAATGTGTTTGCTCCACTGGTTTGCCTCTGAAGCAAGATGGGAAGACGTGCCAAAACAGTAAGTAGACAGTATTTCATTAAATTTGTCATTTTTTTACATTTCTCAGGGGACTTGATTACGAATTTCACCAATTATCTATTTAACCACGAAATTCAACACCATAACTTGATTTTTTCATTAGTTTGCCTGTAGCTTGCTCCACTCTTAATTGCTAGGTAAGTAAGCTTGTAGCGGTCTGCACTATGGCCTGCGTGTATGTAGCTCCCCTCTGTATGCCTGTGATTGGCACTTTTTTATTCTTCTTTGTAACACTCACGCAATTTTAATCTGATAAAGTGGAAGGGGTTGTCCTTAGGAATGCGTAAAAGGGGTGTCGCTTACCATCCTTATCTTGGCTATCAAAGGGATTCCTCAGGAAAAAATTTTCAAAAATTTTTTTAAACTATCCTTAAATGTTCCATGCCGATGTCTGTTTCGAAGAATACAAAAACAAAGATAGATCATATTGCTTGTTTAGGAGATATAAGGGGTCAAACGTACCGAATTTATGCCTGCACTAGCACTAATCACGCGCGCCATTTCATCGGTTCACGGTACAGTTTGCTGCAGCTGAAAGTAAAGGTTTTTAAAGTAATAATTGAAAAATAATTTCATAGGTAGAAAGTCTCGAGCGTATAAAACAATTTGATATATAATTTGTGGGAGAATTATGCAAATTTAAACGACATCGACTCAAAAAGTTCCTCGAGTCGTTTCTTTCAAGGTCATAATTTGCATCCTCAACTTACGGGCTTCGTGTAGGCTTTTAACTTTTTCTTTTATTCCTTTCGAATAATTTTTTTTTCAAATTCACTCAATTTAAAAGGGATAAATTGTAAACCAAAATTGTTACAAAAAATATATGTCATCGTGCTCGTTCAACAGCTAAAGACCAACGTACCTCTCTACCATGGATTGAAAAACAATACCGTGTTCTCGGAATACGCGCGTGCTCATTCCCCCGATCACATGATTTTTATGCGCAATACAGGATGCGCAATGCAAAACTGAGAAATCACCTTAAGTTAGACATTGTTATTCTTAACAGTTACTTCAATGTTCTAATGAAATATATAACGATTTAGAAGTGAAACTGAGTACTCGCTAAAAATTACCTCATGTTTCATTCTATTTCTTTTGCAGAAGTAAAGAAATTTGTCCTTTTCACTGACTCTGAAGCCAGATCTATAAACATGATTTCCCTTGATGTTAACTATTCCATCGCTCAACCCTTATTGAACCATCTTTATGATCAGCGCCCCACTGCTCTGGGTTTTGACCCCGTCGAAGATCGCCTGTATTGGTCTGATGTTGAAGAAGGTCGTATCATGAGTGCCTTTGCAGATGGAACCTCAGTGAAGACTCTGTTTAGTTGTAACGTCTTAAAACCTTATGGTTTAGCCATCGATCACGTGGGTCGAAACATTTATTGGACCGATGCTGGCACGAACAGCATTGAAGTTGGTCGGCTTGATGGAACAAAAAGAAAGCTCTTATTTAAAGATGAACTTGAGGAGCCAAGGGCTATAGTGCTGGATGAGAAGAATGGGTAAATAATGATACAAGCAAAATTTAAACTCTTTAGAAATACAATAAAAAAAATTACTATCATTTGCCATTGAAATAATCCTTTTTTTCTCCTTTTGCTCGTTTTTGTTTTAATTTTTGTTTTTGCTTTTCTCTTTTTACCGTTCCTCCAGGATAATGGTCTGGACTGCCTGGGGCACAAAACCTCACATTGCGAGAGCCCAAATGGATGGCTCGGCAAGACAAACTCTAGTGACGGGAAATCTATCTAAGCCTGATGGAGTTATTATAGACCAAGCTACAAATCGTCTTTACTGGTCTGATGCTCAGCTGGACACTATAGAGATGTCCAACCTTAATGGAGGCCACAGACAGGTTATATTGTCGTCTGCAGCTAAGATCAAACCTTTTCGCTTGGCATTCTACCAGAAGACGCTATATTGGACCGATCCAAATAACAAGAGGATAGAACTCTACAATTTAGTCGATGGGAAACCGAAAACAGTAGTCCGTGATGTTCAAAAGCCAACCGATATTCACGTCCATGATCCATCTGTGTTATATTCAGGTAATAGACTAATATGATATAGGCGTCGTGTTTCCCTCAGCTTTACAACGATAGAACTGGTCTAATTTGCCTTCTTTTTCGAATTTCGAATAAACTGTCTTCTTCTGATATAACCTGTTAAAGGTAACTATCTAACTAGGCGCGATTACCAAGAGGGCGGTCTGTTTAGCGCGTTAAAAGTTTAATCTTTAGTGGTTGGGGTGATTGAACTATCATCACTACATTTCTTCCTGGTTATGTTTTTTTTTCTTACCGATAAAAGATTCGCACCCGTGTGATCAGAACAATGGATTCTGCAGTGATTTTTGTCTTCTGAAGCCAGAAGGATATCAGTGCGCATGTCCAACGGGTATTGCGCTCAAGTCTGATGGGAAAAACTGTGAAAACGGTGAGAATGCTTATTTCTTTTCTTTTAACCTTATCCGAACTCTTCTCCTTTTCAAAATTCAATCAATTAATAGCGGAGCTCGCAGAGCGTAGCCCCATAATTATACAAAATAGTAGTAACACATCAAGCCGAAAACATTTGGACGTGCGACCGTACGACCGACCGTACAAGGTGCTACTTTTAACATGGGTGGTCAACTGTACCGCAGGCACGCCAACGCCACGACTTTGTTCCGTAGTTCAGTGGTCAGTGCACTGGTTCTAGTCCTGACCGGGGCAATGCGTTGTGCCCTTCAGACGTGCGGAACAAAAAAATGCGAGCTCCGCTTTAAGCCTGGCTAAATCTATATATTATGATTTTAAAGGGAGAGACGGGTGCGAGGTGCCATTCACAGTAATATCATTATAGGCGTCCTCAGGGGTTCAAAACGTTTCTGTGATTCAGTTGAATCTACATGTCTTCAGGAAATCAGATAATCGCGTTCCAATATTTCGGAAGTTAGATAAAAAAGATTCTTGCGCGAAGAACACATTGTAAACTCCTTCAAAAAAAAAAAAACAGCTTACTCAGAAAAAGTAACATAAGCATAAAAAAAATTTACACTGGATATTGCAAAGCCTTCCCTATTTCTGAAAACTTTCAATTGATTAACCGTCTGTTTTTTTCCTTCTCATTTTGCTCAAGATATGTTCCGTAGTGCAAACTCGTGGATGCTTCTCACTGAACTTGATTCTAGGGAGATAAATAACGTCTCCCTCTCGATACCTGGAAACCCTTGCTTTCCTCTGAAGATAAAAACAAACATTTCGAGACCTGTGGCTGTCAGTTACGACCCATTAGAAGGCAAGATCTATTGGGCAGATTCCAGTTTGAAGCTGGTGGCTAGAGCATATCCTGACGGGTCATCCACTGACGTTGTCGCGTACGGCAATGTGGGTAATCCCCGAGGACTTGCTATAGATTACACTGGACGGAGTCTTTACTGGTGTGATTTCGGAACCAATAAGATTGAAGTTGCGCGTTTGGATGGCTCATTTAGAACAACTCTTATCAACTCGAGTATTGAACGTCCAATGGCTATAATACTCGACATAGCTGGGAGGTAATTTGCCGAAGCTGACTTTTTCGATGCATTTCTCAATTTCTGTTAATAGTTTTATGAACCAAAATTGCCGAAATATGGAATGGTATATGATGATTATAATAAAGAAATTCAGAAATCTGAACATTCCCCAAAACGTAAAATCGTTCTTGTATATCTAGCGAAATTAGACCTCATCTCCCACCACAGCTTCTTGAAATGCCCCACTTATGCATTAATTTTCACGCTATGAAAGTGTTACATATATAATTGGAAGTTTTGGTGTGTAGTAACGCTGAGTATTTTTAAGAGTTTGACGAGCCCGCACGGCTAGTCAAGATACAAACAAAAAGTTATCCAACTTCTTTATTTCATGCGTATTTCCTTAAAGTGCAGGGGGAGGGAGGGGGAAAGAGAAGCAGATAAAGAAGTGTACATGTACTGCGCGCAACTGACAGGTTAAACAGGCTTTACAGCACAATATAACCAACTTTCCACTATTTGTGCTCTGCGTAATGCCGTTGAATAATAGCATGCCTTGTTCTTTTAGGAAGATGTACTGGAGTAGCTGGGGTAAATTTCCGAAGATTGAACAAGCCAACATGGACGGTTCTGCCAGAAAAGTTCTCGTAAACTCTACACTTGCATATGTAAACTCGTTTGCTTTAGATCACTCGGGAGGAGTATTATATTGGTGCGACGCAAGTCTTCATAGGATTGAAAGAGTAGATTTCCAAGGAAACAACCGAGCGGTTCTATTGGACTTATCATTTGATAACTGGAACCCATACGGACTTGCTCTTTCTGGTAACATTCTGTATTTGTCTGACTGGAAGAAAAAGGCAGTTTACAAGTACAATATGAGCTCGTCTGTAATGAAAATCATGGTTCAAGGAATGGGAACTTTGATGGACTTGCATGTTTATAATGATAAGACAAGCTATAAAGGTAAAACTTGTGGACTTAATGAGGTAGATTGCATGTAAATTAAAAACTATTCCGTTTACTGAGTTGGTCCTTCACGATGAAAAACTGCGAACAGTAGCAATTATTAGGGACAATCTACCGGTAGCCTTGATCCATACATGTACGACTTATTCTTTTTAACAATTCAGTGTTTGTTCAATGTTATCAACCAAGTTTATTGCAATGGAGCTTTAAAAATGGCATTACAAGAATTCCCAACCATTCGTTGACCGTGAAGTTGGTTCAGTGCCAACTCATTTTTTCGATAATTTGTTCTCTGCCTGTTCTCTTATAAAACAAAACTTTCTCAATGCAACTTTCTCACCATTGATAATTTTGAGTATTGAAATGTCATGATTCTAACCTTTCCTGAAGGATCCACTAGCTGTTCTCAACTTAATGGAGGCTGTAGTCATCTTTGTCTTCCCAATCCAAGCGGCCACCGATGCTTTTGTCCTGACGGTGTCTATCTGCAGCCGCACGATCGATTCACTTGTCAAAGAGGTAATAGTTAGATAGTAATCAGAGCCGTTCACATGTATGTACTAATGCCTTGCTAGATGTATCAAATGGATATCTTTTTTATTCTTCTCAGTTACCACTTGTGGTCCACTTGTCCCACCGGTCAATGCTATCATTTCTCCTCCCACCTGTCAATCAAGAAGCTATTTCGGTCAGACATGCAGAATATCATGTCGACTACCAGGATACATTGTTGTTGGAGCCAGATCCCGTGTATGCGGTAGCAATGGAAAATGGACGGGATCCAACAACTCTCGATGTAAAGGTATTGTTACTTAGTGTAAAAGTACAATCTGCCCTTGTGTTTGCTATTTTCACCAATCCACTGACCATAGATGCCATCGAAAATAATTAAAAAAATTTATACTTAAGCTATGACTTCAGTTTACATACTTGAAGCTCAATGTGCTACAAATGGTCCAATTTTTTTTATGTTTTGTTTTTTGCTAATTTGTATTGTTTTTTTTTCTGTAAAAAGGAAAACTATCTTTTCAAAAAGAAAAAAATGTTAAGTATATGGTATGTTACTTTAGAAAAATTCATGTTAAGTGAAGGCAATCTTGCTCAAAACGAAATCACTATTTTTGACGAAGATGGATACTTACATTCCTATCAGTGCTTCCATGCTGTGATCCCTGGGCACTTTCTCCTTTGCCATCCTGAAACTAACCTTACTTTAAAACTGAAATTTGCCGTTTGAGGAACATACAATTTTGCATACTCACTAACTCGTGTTACACACATATATATATACGCACATAACGCACACTCAAGGAAGTGAGTCTTTAATGTAGTTGTTTTTTGTCTTTTGCAGACATCACTCCTCCTTCATTCACTACCCCCTGTCCCAAAAGCATGGATTTCTATACTGCTGAATGTTCATCTGATGCTTTGGTTTCGTGGGATGAACCAGTAGCGAGTGATAACTCTGGAAATGTGTCAGTCTCTTATCCTGAAATTCGTCCACCAACTCGTTTGTCTTCTAGTTTCAATCCCCTGACGTATATTGCCACAGACAGCAGCGGGAACTGCGTGAATTGTAGTTTTCACCTACGAGTGATAAGTATGTCGTCCTTCTTGTGACACCAAACTATCTAACATAGTTCTGGATGACCCTTTTAAAATGTGCTGCAAATCTCATTTTCAGTAGGATTTCAGACCAAAGTTACAAATAAATCCATTTGTTCCCAAATAAACTGAACAAATTGTTGGGGCAGAATTTGCAAAATTCGCAACAAAATGGCTCCTTCGTCTCTTTTTCACCGTAATTTAGTCAATTACTTTACAAAATGCCTGAGTGGTTGTTTTGTTTTAGTGTTACTTTCCCACTGGTTCAGAAACATGCGATTTAGAGCAAAACATAGTACGATTATTTTATACGTCTCACTGCTGGTAGTCAACTGAATAACAAAAATCTCAGAGTGGATAAAAAAATAAAAACAAAAAGGCTTACTGTGTAAATCGATATATGAAACACATTTATGTATTCGTTATTGACTAATCAGAAAAGACGTATTTGTTAAGCTGATAGAGATAAAAATTTAATGATTTCAAACTGCTAACTAACAAAATTCTCTTTTCTATAGGAAAGTCATGCCCAGCCCTCTCGCGACCAATAAATGGGAATGTAAATTTGTCTTGTGGACATTGGTTCGGCTCCGAAGCTGTTTTCTCTTGCAACAGGCGACATCAATTAAACGGTTCTCATAGGCGTTTTTGTGATAAAGATGGAGTTTGGTCAGGCTTTCCATCTTCCTGTGAAAGTAAGTAACTCTGAGATGAAATATGTTTACTTCAAACTAAAATTTATAAGATACTGTATTCTCGATCCCAGTGTATCTATTTAATTCGCTAGCTGGTCGGTCTGAATCGGGAAAAACTGTGGCCGAGGTCTTTAGTACATTGCGATACTAAAGACAGAGGGCACAGTTTTTCCAAATATGGACTGACCTGGGCTGGTGAACAACATTTTAATTTTTTTTTTCCAAACTTCGCAAAATTCCTGCCATAATAACCCTGATTATTTAGAGCTGTAACTACGGCAATATCCTCCTTACACTGAACAATTTTTGAGCGAGTAAAAAATATTTAAAACAGAGGTAATGCAAATTAAAGAGAGAGACTTCACTGAAATATTTTTATTTATGTAACGATAAAGATGATTTAAAAGGCTTCCAAACAAACTTTCAAACAATTTTTTTCCAATTATCTGTCACAACGTGACACCTGTCAATTAGAGAGCGCGTAAGAAATGAGCGAATGTACACTTTTGAAAAAACAACGGTACTGGTTTGGCAAACAAACTCAAGTTCAATAACTGTCATGACGCTTCTTTTTTTTTTTTCTTCAAAACCATTTGATGATCGTCAAAGTATTATTCACTTCCATTGATGATTAGTGTACGAAGAGTACCTTTGTAAATTGGAAGTAAAGTAATTGTAAGCAAATTCAAAGGTATGTTTTAAAGTTATGGGAATTTGCTCGTTTGTCTGCTGCAATAACGCGTGTAAATCTGGTCTTTTCCCACCAAAATAACTATCAAATGAGACACTTAAACTAGACCCGAGGGGAATTGAATGCGTCTTTTTCTCCTTGATTTCATTTGGTCTTTGTCAAGAAATTTACGGTACAAATGGCCAAAGTTAATAGGTTGACTTGCAAAGACTTACCGTAAACATGTTGAATGAATTAGGACTGAAACTTCGCTACAACGAAAAATTGATCGAGAGAATTCAGATATTAAATGAGTTAAGTCATTAATCGGCTTGATTTGCTTAAAAAATTTTTGCTCGAAAATAATGCAAAAAGACAAGATTAATTCATGAAGAATAGCAACAAAGCTAGGGATGTTTACGGTGACTCAAGAACGCGTTACCGTGCGCGTGGGAAGAGATAGGAAAGAGAGGAAAGAAAAAGGAAAGAGAGGATTAATAAGTTAATCATCAGCTTGAGGTAGGAACCGACGTCTTTGCTTAAAATTACTGCCCAGCCGGAAAACGAGCTACATATAAAAATGGCAACGAAGGTAGGGATGTAATCGGTGACTCACGAAAACGTTACCGTGCTCGTGTGCAGAGAAAGGAAAATACTGACCGCGCTGAGAAAAAAAATAAAGAACTATGTTCAAAACTGATTATCTGTCCAAAAGGTGATGCTGTTAATTATTCTTATTATTTTAATGGTTATAGAGATAACTTGATTTTAAACCATAACATGACATTTCCAAAAAATTGTATCTTACCTCTCATCTGTCTTATAATATAGCTCCTTTTCTTTAGGCTTAAGTCTTCGTAGTCTACTATTCTGGACGGGATTTGAATTAACATATAGCCTTCTTCCAAACCAAGCAAGAAAACATACCAGGTTCACAAAACCAATTGGGTGGGTTTGAATTATATAACGAATTAAACAAGGAACAAGAAACAAGAACAATTCACAGTGGTATAGGCGTAACTCTCTGTCTTTTGAAATTCAGAAGCTTAGTCGAGCGAACACCATCACTGCCAATAACTCTACCGTTACTACAACTGCCACAGCTACTAACACTATTACCTCCACTGGCAAAAACTTCTAATACACCTACTACTACCACAACTATCAGATCCGCAACTGCTACCATTATAATAGCACCACCACCACATTATTATATTAACACTATCATCGCTTTGCTACAACCAAAAATTTAAATAATTTTGGCAGCAAAAAGGTGTTCTTTTCGTGAACGACTGATATTTTTCAAGGATAGTTTAAACTTTGGATAAGCGCAAGGAAACTTGTGTTCAGGCACTTGTCGAGAAAACCTGGGTCCAAAATTTTAGTGTTACAAGTGCCGTTATCAGCATTGGCAAGTTTCGCAATAAACGAAAAAGACCATGATAAAAATAATAATAATAATAATAATGACGATGGAAAAATTTCCTATAATTATAATAAATTATTAATGTCTATATTTTAGTTTGCCTTCTTCTTCTTCTGATTTTTTTCTTCTGCAACAACTCACTGAAACTGCTTTCGTATGCGACAGGAGAGGAAGACAACAATTTAACAGGCGAGACTTCAAATCCTCTCTCAGATATTTGGCTCGTACTCTTGGTAGTTTCCAGCGTAATTCCTATCGTCATCATGATTTACATCTATGTTCGTTGTGGTCGGTCAGCGAAAAATCGTGGGTAAGTTCATTATTAGCCTATCACTGATCTAATTAACACGTTAAGGTAATAATAATCAAGGAACAAGGAAGAACAACAGTTATTCTTTTCAATTCCACTATTTATTGCATTAATTATACCTGGCTAAAGAGCCAGATAAGTTTTTTTTTTAATTTCCTTCGACCCATCTAGTGAGCAAATTCTAATAGCCGATGTTGTTTTCAAAGGGAAGAAGTTAGTTAGAACCACTGTCGCAGTATTTACTCAATGCCCTTGATTAATATGTGGGTTATGTTGAGTAGGTTTCTAACATCGGTTGCATGCTGGTCCTTTCACTTGCTATTTGGTCATAATGATATACATCTCCACATACGTACAGGCATGCCTACATACGATCAAGACCGAAAATTAATCTATAGTAACTTATGAAGGTAAAAAAGAAGTATGAGCAACTCTTTTGTGTCTTTCATACTCTCAAAAACTTCTGTATTTATCTTTACTCGATGCGTTTAGGCAATGTAAGCTTGATCGAATTCTTCATATCTTTAAAAATTTTTGTCCATCTTTTAGCAGCAATGCAAGTCTGCCTCTTGGAAATAACAGTATCCATTTATTAGTGAATTATTAAGTACCTATGACACGAATTTTTTTTGTGTATGAATATTTAGCTTTTCATTTGTACAAACCAATTGCAATAGAAGAGAAATTTCAAAAAATTAAAACTCAGTTTTTTCGAGCCCCAGAGTGATTTTGTCTTAAAAGTGTCCCGCGTGTTAAGAATGGGTACCTGTGTATGTTTCTGTTGCCATAGCATTTTAGTTATTCCTTCGCGCTAAGTGCGGCGCATGTTCCCTTGCTCAGTGCTCTCTAGAGTTTCGTTGTTGTTGAGTTATTCCTCTAGCAAACCAGAAGCAAACTTTTGACAAAAGAATTAGCTGCATCACGAGGCACGATGATTTTTCGCCGAGAAGTCATCCTGCATTTTCACAGCTAGTTGCTCCTCTCCTCAAAGATTGTGAAGGCAGAGGCTATCGTCGTCGAGCCGGTAAAACGGAAAACGAATTGGCTGATAGACATCTGATCCAAATTAATCTCAAATAGGGATTTTAATCGAGAAAAATTCCCTTTAGTTTAAGTGCAGCATTGCCATATGACCCGTTTCGCTTAATGGCAAATAACTGACATCAGTATCGTAAATGAATATTTCGAACGCATCGACTTTCACACACTTGGATTCGCTATCATTTAATAAAAAAAATATTTTCTATACAATTTTCTCGTTGCTGTGCTGTTATCACAATGACATTGCTACTGTTGCTACTTTTAGTTTCTTGAGGGTAGGGTGGAATTGATGGCTTGGAAATTTGGAAACATAGGTTAGGAGAATACACGGCCCCTTCGAGCTTGTGTTTATGCCAGTGTCCGCCTGAGGTTTCGCACTGTCCACGTAACAGGATATTGGTCAGCCCGGGGAAGGGCTTGAACTTTATTACAAATAATGTATTTCTGTTATTAAAGTACGATAGAAACTACAACTAGTAGGATTTTCATACGATAAGAAAAGTGCAAATGTAGTCATGTTGAAAGACAAGAGTACCAGTACGTTTCAATCGCATGAAATAAACAACAATGAGGAACTCACCATTCTTCGCTTGCGAAATGTTAGTCGGAAAGAGTGTCGAACAATCATCATTTTTTTTAACTGAATTCATTGGTTATCTTACCCCGATATTACTACTGATATATGTGTTTGTAACAGACGTCTTCGAAGCCGGTACGGGGCATAAGGCCGACGACGTTGAAGGGTAAAATCTCCTCGATGTGGACGATCGAAACGCGTCCATTTTGGCCATACAGCTACATCCTTTGGAAAGAAGTATATAGAAATACCCGGTATATGTGTAATATTTTTGAAGCTATCATTTGGCCCGCCGGCCACGCAATACGTTCGTCCCTTCTAGATTTCTCCTTTCTCCACCATAGTTGCAGATGTGTCTTCTAAGTGTTTACGTCACAGCTATGTGACATGATCATTTATCAATGCATAAAAAAAAATGGTCGGGGCCAACTCGCTAGGTGCTAAGGACGATTATTTCTAATTTTAAATACAGCTATCAACCATGCCGAAAATGCAAAAAAAAATTCGTGTCATTGGCACTTTAAGAGTAAATAAATACCCAGGATGTTCCTCTGTTACCAAAACCGTCTTTTTCCTAACCCTGCACAATTAAATTTCTTCTCAGTGTTTGTGGGCCAATCCCGATTGGGAATCCCATTTACGAAGACTTTTCAGTTGACCCCCTTGATATTGTAGAGGTATGGACTTATTCTAAAGAGGCGTTTAATTTATCTTTATTCTGCCTGTAACTCTAAATTGATCTAGCCGACCTCCATGTTATACTAGTGAATGGCAGTCACCGTTTCATGCGTTATTATCTGCAGGTGAAAAGCTATCATAAAAAAACAACATTAAAAAAACAAAACAGAGCAAAACAACTGATGTTTATTGAAACTTTTACTTCAACTTAAATGGAAGATGTTTCAAAGAGGTTGTAATGTTGGTTAAGCGACCTTAAAAGTCAAAAAGCAACTACAAATTAATCCAAACTTTGGATAATCAGGCATTTATTTGAAACTATGGGAAGTGTAATAAAATTTAATGTTGATGTTGATTTCTTTTCTTTTTTTTTTTTTTGATAGGATATTTTAGTTACCTCATATAATTCTTGGGTAAGATATATAATGTTTGACTCAAAACACTGTTTGACTAGATTTGTCTCCTTTTAAAGTTCACGGTTGAGACAAATCCTCCGGAAAATCAAGTAGGTCTAAATGACAGCAGCGAGGGTGACTATTTACCCGACAGCTTTGAAAAGAAAAAAACATTCAACAGTTCCGGCGGTGAGCTGAGCGCTACTAATGACTCGGACGTGAAAATATGCATTGGAAAAGGCGCAATACCGATTGGAGTCAGCCAGGAAATATTCTACCGTGTGGTCTACGACACAACAGAGCTGTTGCGGGATATCCCCGTTGGACCTGATGAAACAATTATTTCCCCTGTGATTGAATGCGGACCACACGATATCAGACTTTTAAAGCCTTTGGAGATTATAATCCCACATTGTCTCTATATGGGCAAAGCTAAAAAGGAATGGATAACTGTCTACAGAACTGACCCAGGTATCGAAAAATCCTTGGCCTAAGTATTTTCAGCTGAATTCAAAGAAAACACATTTGAGATTTAAGATATTAAGGACTTGCACTTTTATGAGGTTTACATGTTCCAAGTTTGTTCAGGACATGGAGTTACATAAAAGATGAGAGCTCTCGATTCCCATCACTATGGCCCGGTTTCTATTCACTAACCTGGCGTCATGTGTAGTTGAGGTTTTTCTTTTTTTCTGCTTCCTTTCGCTCCCAGATGTTTTCTCTGTGTGTCTGATTTTCCTTCTTCCGCAAAAACTAAGACACAAATTTCAATTCGACTTAACGTTACCCTTATCCTGAAATGAACCTTGTGGATTTCCATTGCAAAGTAATCTCACTTATTCATATTCCTTTATATTTTTTACCCCCTTCTCTTTCGGGAAAGTAGGACTAATTTTCATTATGCTGTTACTCTACTGATGATTTTGTCATCAATTTTTGATTAAAGGTCCTATCAAGTGGGAGAAAATCCCTAGCAAGTCAGAAAAAAAAAATATGTCAAGGGTGTGGTTCACAGTAAAAGAGGACTCCATTCATATTAAAACAATGACATTCTGTTTCTGGTGCGTATATTGCCGTGGGGCACCGAGGATGAAAAGAGCCACAGTGTTTGCGAGTAAACCGAATCCCAGACGTGATCTCATTGAATTCAGATTCTACATTTACAGTGACAATAAGGAATTTTCGGGGGTAAGTAATAACTGTAGCGGCGTCAGACCCGATTGCGGAGAGATCCGTGAACTTAAAGAACTAAAAGACTCTCAGATTCCACAAGGCTAGGTTTATTGTGTCGACTGTTACAGCGATCCGGTTCTGAGTTAAACAGGTGTTCTTTCCGATATTTACCCACATACAGTGTATGATAAAAGTGAGTCATTACCTCTGATAACCAGCTTGAGCTTACGCTATTTATGATTTAGTATCATATCACATCATATCATGATCATTGGTTTATCCACGTGATTCTTTTAAGTACTGAACAGGGGCACTACTTTGGTACATATCTACTATAATTGCCCTAAATCAAATCGCCATCTTGGATACAAATCCGCGCATATGATTAGTTATTTTTCACCATGTGGTACATATTCCTCCTCTCTGATTAGCTGTAATAATTATATCACTGACGAGTAATTTTGCGACTTAGCTCTGACGTTCTACGGTGAGATGAAAGCACGAGTATGTACATAGTAGTCTATTAGCCTTTTATTGCTTGAGCTTAACCTACTCTCATGGAAATTAAGCGGCAAGGAGTTTTCTTACTCCTGTTGTGCGTATGCAACTTTGTTGTAGGCATCTACCCAGCAATTTATAGATTTGCCGGTGTTACAATGTGTTGTCAACCAGCTATATTCCTTTATGTGGTAAGTGAGTTGCATTTGTCTAACAAAATATTAAAAATAAGGTTTTGTCCAAAATTCAAACAATAACACCCTTTCATCTAGTCACTGTTGTTATTGCATGATGTACCACCTAGCTGATCCATATATTTTGCCTTTACAAGCGAGTAAAGAAGCAAGATGAAAAGCAGTTTCCTGATTCATGGCAAGGAATAGAGAAACCCTTCAAAATGTACAGCAACACCAAAAAGATAACCGTGAAACTTGATCCTGAGGAGGGTTGGGAATTTGACAAGACACCCGGTGAGCAGGTGAGGAAATCAACATGGGGCTGAGCTCAGTCATGAGTTACAGTAAAACACTTTTACCTTTGATAATCTGAACTGAGGCTTAATAGGCCCTTGGTAGTTGGTCGACAATCTTCCACTCAACACGTATTGTATTAAACAAAAATCTTGTAACTTGTGTCTAATAAGTTATCTGAAAGTCCCTCCCTCTCTCCCCAAACAACACCAGCACCAGGCAACATTGAGATGGAGGGGGGAGGGGGGTGGAGATAAATGAGAGTTATAGAAAAAATAGAAAACATCCAAAAAGTTGTAAGTAGTAGAGTGTGCCAAAACTTTCGCGACTCACTATTGTAATTTTGCATAATAATAAGAAACTTCTGAATAGTTGATTATGTGGCCTTCTGACTATCTCTGAAAGTAGGTTTCTAAACAATGCACTTTAAAGAACCTCTTATTCTTTGTGCATTTTAATTAAAAGCGTTTTACTTCCGATTGATGCAATGTAGTACTCAATCTGTGATCTGTTGTAGGTGTACATCTGCGATGATTCCCACGGCGGTAGATCCCGCTGTATAAATACATGTACTTTTGCAGTAAAACCAGTGAAAGGTCGCGAAGTAGAAGAGTTCTCTTGTAATATAACGTTCCAACAAGAGGGCCATGATGAACATGCAATATACGTAAACCCTGGCTTTTCACTTGAGGAGGTAATACTGTTTGTAGCTAACACAATCTGTTTTCGCCTAAAGCCAATGACATAGTTTACAGTTTTCTTTGAAAAAAAAAGGAAGAAAGAGAAACCAACAAGAAAGGACAAAAAACAAAATCAAACTAAATCTAATGTAACTTTCAGCTCAACTTTTTTTTGTAAAGTTACAATCACCACTCACTTTCTTCGACCTTATCAGCTTAGCCGGGCTAATGAAAGTCAATCTAAGTGTACTATATATATTTTGCTAATTATAAGCCTCCTACCCCATATTTGCCCTTCCAGTTATAAGCCTGTATGTGTTTAGTCAGAACCACTAGTCTACCTCATGATATCACTGGCCTGGACCGTATATCTAGTTCTCAGCGTAGTCGTAAGCCGAGCTTTTGATTTGTTGGCCCATTAATGTAGTCCTTTATAGACATTTTTAGGGGGGGGAAATGAAGTTTTGTAAATATGTATCTTTAACTTTATGGCAGGTTTAATCAGCTGTTATTATTAACGAGAATTTTCATTTCCTTTGAAACGCATTATGTATTTTGCACTACGCAAATTCTAATTATTATTATTTCTAATTCTAATCATTATTATTATTATTATTATTATTATTATTATCAACTTAACTTTATATTCTCTAATAAGCTTACCCGATTTAATTGACATCGACAAAATAACCACAAAATCTAGTGAAGATAATAAATATCATAAAGGCGGAAGCCTTGATTAACCTTGCAAAGTATGGCTAATGAGTTCCAAGCCTCAAACTTTTATTTTTATTTTCCATTAAAAATAATTATCAAATAACTTATTCGTACTTAATCTCACGGGTACATAATTTCGCGTCATTCGTAATTATAAAAATATCGCGAAATTGAAGACTCAGGAATAAAAATGCTCGCGGGATTTAAACAGGCAGAAAATGATTAACATGTAATAAGAGCAACAAACACGACATGTATCGACATATACGAAAATTGTCAACTAGTTTTACCGGTAAGTTCCACTGTGTATCTCGTGAAATGCATATTATGTAATGTATCTTATGTAATGTTAATCGCAAAAATCTATACTAATTCCTGATATCTATCATGCAGTCTTCGAAATTGCCATTAACTTACTTCTAGTAGTTCTCATTCACAACTTTCAATTAAAGTTCCAACACTTATTCCGGTTTATCTTGGAATTTCAGAAAGTTCAGACATTTTGAAATTGAAATGAAGTTGAAAACGCCAGAATCGCGAAATTCAATGTCCTATTTTTATATTTTCCTGTTGAAATCGAGAAAATAAATCCCCGCGAAATACTGTTTCGCCAAAATCGCGACGTTAAGCACCCGCGGATTAAGTAAGAATAAGGTATATCAAACATTCATGTTAGTCTAAAAAGGTATTTCTTTGTTCTACCGGTAACCCTTTTGAATATTGAAATGGAGTAATTCAGTATTCATGACCATGATTTTCCGGTATCCGAGCGATTTTGCAACTTTCAATTGCTCTCTCCATTTTAGAAGTTGGTCGAGCCCGCAAATGCTTGTACGCATTTCAACAGCGCAGCTGGATGCTCGACTTCCTCAGCCCCAGCGGAAAGTGACAGGCGCAGCTCAGACGAACAACCAAAAACTCCTCGAGGTATCTTCGTGATCGTCATCGTAGCTATAGTTTCATAAGAAACTTTAGTTAAATCTACAAATTAACACCTCCTACGAATAAGCTTGTCTTTGTCTTATTGCCGGAGTAGTCGGGCTTTTCTCTCAAGAACTTGCTTCAATCTTTTAAACTCTCTGTTAAGAATAATAAAGTTTTTGTGCTCTTTCTCCTTCGTTGGTTTTTTTTTTCTTTTTTTTTTTTGCATTCTCCTTCAAACTCTGAATGGAACGTCATTACTTTCTTTTCACTTGTCCGCCATTTAATTTTTTTGCGCTTTCACGACTTCCCTGTCAATCAAGTTCATTTTAACATTTTGCACTCAATTTCAATTTCCTGCACAGTTTGGTATTGATTCACATGTTCTTTGCTAGTAAGCATGCCGAAATTTTTGCATATATAAAATAAATAGAGGAATTACAGTTTGATATTTGCAAATTGATAAACCTGATTCCATTTGCGAATTTTTTTTTAGGTTTGAATAAATCATGGTCGGTTAATTTTCCACGTCAAAGATATACAGAAAGTGGCGGTCTTGAGGCGACCTCACATACTGTAAGAGGCAGCAAAAGCGCATCTGGATGCTCGAAGTCCTTAACACAAGAAGAAAGTGACAGGGGCAACTTAAACGAACAATCAAAAACTCCTCAAGGTATCTTCGTCATTTGTCATCGCAGCTATAGCTACTATCACGAGAAACTGTAGTTAAAATTACAAATTAACACCTCTTACGAATAAGCTTCGGCCCACTCCCCACCTCAACCAAAGTTTTAACCAGTGTCCCGCCTCGCCCCCCTCCCATCTCCAGTTTCCACGAACGAGTCCTGAGCGGAAAAAATGTATTGTTGAGTTAAATTCATTTAACTTCCGTACATAATCAAGACAAAATTCCCCTTACAATGTTAATACAAAATCAACCAGATTAGTGATGAATGAAGAAAAATATAACTTATAGGATTATTAGTTAATGCAATTCATAATTCTCAACAGTAATATCATCATAATTTTATGGAAGACAGTTAGGAAAGTTTCCAATTAGATCTTGGGAGTAAAAGGGTTAAACCATTGTGCTCCGCTCACCTATTAGAAGACGCTCTTTACGGGCAGATGCCTCGAATTGGGAAATATTCATTCCGCACCTTCCCTATTTTTGGTGTGAGCACACCCCATCCTGAAATATGCGCTCCAGTCGTTAATAAAACCATTGACACTTATTCAAACACTATCATATATAATGTTAGAGAGGGTGTTTGAAATACAGTCCCTAATCAACAAACATATTACGTTTTGCTGTGGCCGGTCTGTTTAGTCATAGATCACATATGAAGTCAAAATGAGGCAAAGACAATTAAAAAGATACACGGGGCACAGCCGAGTGTCTCGCTGATGTTGTTACCATATTCTGTGATCTTTTCTTGTGCAGACCTACCGCAAAGTATAATTTATTTGTTCACACGATGAGACAGAAAGCATCTGTCTTCCAATAGATCCTAAGGAACAAGCAATCAAAATGCGTCAATAATTTAGCTTATCGTGTACCATGAATTATCTCTTTATTCTCTCTTTGTTGCAGATTCGAAGCTCCTCAGCAGCTTGCTGGATAATAGGTCATTTTTAACGAAAGTATGTAACCGTTTGGACATAGAAATGAAGAACCATGGAGACTATCGCCATGTTTGTTCACATTATGGTATTGACAGAAATGAAGTGGCCGCAAATTTTGCAAAACATGGTGACGGACCATCAACAGCCCTATTAGAATACTTGGCAGTTACATATCCAAAGCTAACAGTTGATGAGTTTGCAAGTGTGTTGAAAAACGTTACACAGAGAAATGACGTTGTCGAGAGTTTAGAGGAATATGATAACGAGTAAAAATCGTGTGAAAAGAGTGTCATTTTGAAGTAATTTTGAAGTAATTTAGAAGTGTGTATAAACCTTGAAAAGAAAAGCTGGACAACGTATGTATAGTCATTCCAAAAAATATAAAAATCCACAGCATAATAAATTCAAT